AGCTTAGCAGTGGGATCGTGTTTACCCTGATACGTTCTTGCGCTTGCTGGCAGGAGGTAAGGCTTCCTCTCTTTACTGCCCGCCGACCCTGCGTCCAACAGTTGACAATAATTATATCAAGTGCCTCCATTTAAATTCACTTCACAGTCATTTAAATTAAACCTTTCAGGTAAACAACCTGAAGAAATACCTCTTTATCAATGAGCGTTGTGTGTGTCTGTGCTTCAGCTAGATCACAGTTAACCGACCGCTGCAGGGTGTAGATCACATGGTCGTATGAGTGATGCTCATCGTTGTAGAGAACACAGTAATATGTATTGTCTTTAATCCTGTATGGATGAAGAAATACTCTGTCAAACTTAAGCAGAGTCTTTGAAGTTCAGATTATATTTTGGAAACTTGACAGGTTGTACCGAGGCTGAAGTTCAGCTGGCAGCTGAAAGTTCTCCTCCCACACCAAAAAATCTGTGACATAGTGCAGCAATATCCGGAACAGCTTCTCGGCACGTCCGTATAACTCCAGGTCCAGCACACAATCATCCTACCCAAAATGAAAAAGCATAACGGAGGATTCAAAGATTCACATCTTAATTTAAACAATTAGAAAAATTTGGCACATTGCAGAGATGTGTAACTATAGTAAAAATGCATCATTTTACAATAACTTCACACAAACAAAAGTGAACATGACATGGAATAACCATTATTAATTCCTCATTTCCTGTGTCTTACTGGGTATGGTCTAAATATTTGTCTTAATTAAAGCCAAGCAAGCAGCTGGTCTGGTAACATTAATATCAAATCCCCTGAGGACAAACATTTCACATAGCAGCACAGCATTTCCTCCAAATGTCCAATCTCTAATACTCTAACCAAACAAACGATACAGTGAGTTTATCTTGACATTACATCACTGTGTGAGAGCAAACACTAGAATCTACTGTGATCTAACCAACAAGAGATCTGGATGGAAAAGAACACAAGGTTTTCATGTCCAAAGCGGATGTGCTGCTATGGTAATGTGATTTGTTTAGCACAGGTTCAGATCTGATGTAAAGAGCACAAAGCACCCAGCCAGATCGAGGCCAGGGATGCGCGTTTCTGCGAGGAGAAGCACCTGCTGTTTACGGAAGAAAGAAAAAGCGCAGTGCTGTCAAACAGTATGTCTACTCAAAGCCCCTGAGCATGACGGTAAGCACAAACGCTGTGATCAGCAAAGAAAGGCCTGACAAACAACAGCTGCCAGCAAAATCAGCAGCCTTTTGTAGGAGATGCTGTGAACTGAATAAATCTCCAAACAGTTGTGCAGAATTAAAGGCTGCTCTTAACTAGACTCACCCACTGCTGTTTTCCACTAGTTTCAATTTAACATCTCTTAAATTTATATTTTAGATTATTTTCCTGGTAACTTTTTTTTCTTTTTAATTCACAGAGTCAAACCTACCACCAAGAGAGCAGCAACCAGCACTAAGATGGGAAAATAAGCATTCTGGGGTCACTGACACAGAATGGGACAAGTACACCCACCCCTCCTCCACTTCCTTCTTTCTGCTGTATTACGCAACTCACCGTTACCATGGCATTGGCTGCCCCTGGGTCATGTTTGGAGCAATAAGGGCCAATCTTCCAGGCTTCTACATCTCCACAATCACAGAACCCCCCGCCTGATGATGCATGCATCTGGAAAAAAAAGCATATCAGTGATGAGTGCATGTGATTAACAGACACAAGCAATTGCAATTTCTTTAAACATGTCCTTTAGTTATGCAACACTGAGGTTCCAACATATATGATAAAGATCAAAGACGATATCCTATAATTTAGAAAGGGTATAGATAGAAATAGGATTGCACACTGTGCACACTGTGCAGAGAAGTGAATCACTTAAGAGTGGTGACTGACAATGACAAAGCATGGAAACAGTAGTAAGAAAAGGGGGAGGGAGTCCTGTTACAGATTAGAACTCCAGGGATGAGTGACTTCCATTCATTCAAAGGTTGGTACAGACACCGTCCACTAAAAACTGCTGGAATCCATTAAAAATATAAACATTTATACTAACACCAACCTTGTAGCGATGGCTTTTGTGAACACTATCCTGGAAGCAGTCCATGCACAGGACACAAGTGGGATCTATCGCACAATCCCTGCAAGAAGTGGAAGACATGTATTTTTTTACTTGGCAGAAAAACAAAAGTCTAACACTAAAGAGTGCTATACTCTAGATCAGGTGTGTCAAACATAAGGCACAGGGGCCAAAATCGGCCAGGCAAACAAACCAATCCGGCCCACTGGACAACTTCGTTTTATATCTTTTACTAATGATAATGATAATCTGGGGATTAAATGTGTAATTAAACTTCTTTATACCAATAAAAAGGGGGTCTTTATTTGGTCCGGTCCATTTCAGATCAAAGAAAGTTCTATGTGACCCAAAATGTAAAATGAGTTTGATATAAACTAAGCTGCTTGCCAAGTGTTCTCGCTTTTAGTCATTTAGTGCCTATTTTAATTCAGACCCCATAAAATTGAATATTTTACCACAGCTTTCCTGTAGAAACTTAGTAATTACAGGGATTTAGAAGAGCTGTTCAGACCTGCAGGAGTAAACCGTTTCGCCCTCTTTAAACACACGTCCACAGAGGTGGGACGAGGTACTCCCCTCCTTGAGCTTTTCCAAACCCTCTTGAGGATCCTCTCCAAAAAGGAAACACTCCAGAGGGTGCAGGAGACGGCTCTGCATGAGCTCCTCCTCTTCCTGAGGGCTGGAGTCTTTTAGGCAGAAGATCTGAGGCACCTGCTCCTTCAAGTAGGAGAGCAGTGCTGCTCTGCTGTCTGCTGCCTCCTGCCATTCCTGTGAGACAAAAGAGAAGAGCTTTACATCCTTGCTTTCTACCTTCTAACACAAATCTGCATGAACTCGCCATAGTAACGATGTGCAGATAAATGTTTCCTTTTAGTAATGCATTATGCCCAAAAAAACAAATCTTTCTTCTGAGGATCCTGACTTCTTCATGAAGGCAGAAGTGCACACCATGTTAAGTGCCGATAAAAAAAAAAAGAAAAAAAAAAAGGTTAGATCTAGATTAATCCATATTTAGTAATTGATGACTAATTTTTTCAGTCCTCGATTTGTAATGCAACTGTAGACTCTACATTAGCCTACAAATCTAAATAAACAGCATGGTATAAATAACCTTGTGCTGTGTGATTAATCTGTTCTTCTGCTTGGCCTTCAGCCCAATCATAAAGTAGACCGTATGCAAACAGGAGAGCGCCACGAGGAGCCGTTCGAGTTGCACATGAGATAAAACGGTTTGTTTAATTCACATGAAGGGTAGAATTATATTTCCCTTTGTCAACAGCAGTTGCATTATCATTACTCTGAAGACAAACTGAAGTGGACTAAACATAACTGTTCCTGAGAGGAATTATTTACAGTGGTTTAACTAATCATTCCAGACTTCAGAAGGATGGAATAGACTGGAAATGTGCAAATTTCCATATCAGACAGATGACTTCATTTAAAATGAATGGACTAACG